CCTTCCCTGCATATTAGGTATGCTAATATCTGTGCACTGGAGGATTGTGGGAGGAACATCCAGCCCCTGATGGGGGTCCTGTGGGGCACCCCAAAACACTGAGTAGCTCTCTTGGCCTCTTTCGGGACTGGGGCTGTGCAGCCCTGTTCTGATCAGGAGGTGCAGCCGGGGGGTCACCATGCCTTTGGGGGATAGGGCACAGAAAGGGGCAGGAGGGTCACAGAAAGGGGTAGGAGGTTCAGAGGCCATTCCAACTCATACCTGGCAGGGGAGATACCATGCTTATCAAAGTGGTTTTCCCAGGGTGAGGCTCCTCTATTGCATTTTGGATGTGCTGACCCCTGTGATTTCCCCAAATATGGGAAAATCAACTGCCTAAGTGGGGGACTGTGTTTGTGGTTCCCCCTGGTTTTTCTAGAATTACTCTTTCCCCTTTTGTCTTTTGCTGTTTTTACTGCCTGTTAGCCTTGCTGGTTTTCCAGGTGGGCTCCAGGAAGCAGATCCTAGAAAGCTAGCAGTGCAGAATGGTGAGGTCCAAACAGCAAGCAGTCTCTGGTGCTAGTTCAGAGGCCTCCCAGCATGGCAGTGGGCGGTTTCTGGGTGGTGGTGGTTGAACCCCTTCTTTACTGTATTCGTTCCATAAGACACACATACTTATGTGTGTCTTATGGAGCAAAAAAATACGGTATGTATATATAAAAAACTTTCAGAGATGGTTAGAATATAGATTGTGTTTTCTTTTACCTCTTCCTATTAGAACAAGTGTTTTGCCTATCTCTTTTTGAGGCCACTGCAATCCCATCACTACCATCCCCTTGAAAACTTGGGGAGGCTCTCTTGAAATATTCCATGTAGTGTCCCATGGTGTTTATGTCATGGAGTTCCTCAGGGCTCGATACTGGCCCCCATGCTTTTAACATCTACATGGAACTGCTGGGAGAGGTCATCAGGAGGTTTGGGCTGAGGAGTCAGCAATATGCTGACGACACTCAGCTCTGCTTCTTGTTTTCCACCAATCCAGGTGAGGCAGTTTCTGTGCTGAACTTGTGTCTGGACCTGATAATGGACTGGATGAGGGTTAATAAATTGAAACTCAATCCAGACAAGATGGCTGTTAGTGGGTGCTTCACCGGACAGGCTGGAGGGCCATTTCCTTGTCCTGAATAGGGGTACACTGCCCCTAAGGAACAGGGTCCACAGCCTGGGGGTGCTCCTGGACCCCAGTCTAACTCTGGAAGCCCAGGTGGACTTGGTGGCCAGGGGCACCTTCCTTCAGCTGTGGAAATTGTACCAGCTACTGCCCTACCTGGATGAGCAGAGTCTCATGACAGTTATACACGCACTGGTAACATCTCGTAGAGATTATTGCAATGCACTCTGTGTGGGGCTGCATTTGAAGATTTCAAAGTGCTTGTTTTGACATACAAAGCCCTAAATGGCTTGGGCTCTGGATACCTGAAGGACCGCCTCCTTCTATATGAACCTACCCGGCAGTTAAGATCTAGCCAGGTGGCCCTTTTGAAACAACCGTCCCTTGAGGTAAGAGATGGCTTGTAGACAAAGGGCCTTTTCGGCAGCTGCCCCCAGACTATGGAATGCCCTCCCAACTGAGATTCGTCTGGCGCCGACGCTGATGACATTTCAGCGCCAGGTCAAAACCTTCCTGTTCCAGAAGGCTTTTAATTGAAATAATATCAACTGTGGGTCCTAATGGCAATTTTCAGAGTATATATTTTAGTTGTATTTTAATTTGTTTTATGTTTTTTTTAATTGTTGTAAGCTGCCCAGAGAGCTTTGGGTAGAGTGGGCAGCATATAAGTTAAATAAATAAATAATCGTGCACTTACAAAATAAAGTACATAGCCCCATGTGCCTTCGTCCATTAAAAAGGTGTTTTTTTTTCTTTAAACAAATCAGGAAATGAACTTCTGATTGCTTCAGCAGCAGGGAAAGTACAGATCATGCATGACAATTGGCCCCATATGTGTCACAGTTGCCCATGCCTATATGAGAGATACTGTGCAGCAGCTAAATGTCATACTGTTTGATCCACTTAAGCATGCATAGAAAGTGCTTGCAAAGAAGTTCCACTGAAGTCAGTGGAATCTATTTCTGTTGCTCTCCTTGCCAGTACAGATAAATGGGAGTAGAGGACTAGGGGAATGCACTTTTCACATCTGGAAATTGGATTATGAAAGGGAGTTACAGTGAATTTGGAATCAGTATCTTTTATGCTGACAGTATGTAGTGGATGGTCAGCTGGGGTCATCATGTTATTTCTATTTATACTCAAAAGTATTGATATTTGCCAGTGACACATCTTGCATAGTGGGTTGAACTCCAGAAGCTAAAATAATTTTTTTTCCTTCCCTTTCAGATGCTGCTGTTCGTACAAATGGAGAGAGCAAATGGTCCTTCATTTTTAATTTAACTGATTTAAAGTCCATTAAGCAAAACAAAGAGGGAATGGGATGGTCCTATTTGGTATTCTGTTTAAAGGATGATGTTGTCCTCCCAGCTCTTCATTTTCACCATGGAGATAGCAGTTCGTTGATTCTGTCACTTAAAAAGTATTTGGTGCTCTGTGAGTAAGTATGCCTTACAAGGATTCTTGAAGAAAAAGAACGTTAGTTTTACTCTTTGTGGCCAAGAAAACTTTACCTTTGTTGACGAAAGCTACATGTAAGGGCCATTGTACAGTGGCTATCCTCATCTTTCACTGTCACACAGTTGCTTTCTTGGTTAGAAGAGGTGGAGAACTGCAGTGGATGGCCAGTTAGGCTCACTTGTCTGTTTGCTTCTTTACACTGTGTGATCCCTACAAGATTCTGGCCTGTATAGTCAACATACTGTAGCAGCAAATGGATTAACTTTAAAAAGAAAACTGGTCAGAAATTGAAAATTGCAGTTATACTTTTAAATGTTTAAAAAATTAGTTGATTTAATCATTCACATCTGTTGTTATTTTTAAATAATGAATGTAGTTTTTGGATACATCATTACAAAGAACCTGCAGTGTCCAATATTATGCCATGCAAGTTATGCCTGTGGAAAGGTTATGATATCATCAACGGGGTAGATTTTTGGTAATTTAGGACTACTTACCTCTGTTGTGTGGTTTGTCTTGCTTGTAATCATTTTCACTGCATGCAAGCCATGGAATGATAGGAAGAATAATAACTAGAACAGGATTTTGGCCGTGGGATGCAGTAGTAGGGTACTGAAAGCAAAGAAGAGGTCCTTTGAAAAACACATACACTGGTTTTGATTGGACCATTTTTGCACATATGAGCCCAGACAGACAGCCTTGTGGTGTTGCAGGCACGATAGCAACAACAAAAGTGGGAGACAGGAGTGCTGCAGTAGCAATTTCCGGTTCTACTAATTTTTGGACTGCATAAGTTCTGTATAGTAATTTAAATAAATAAAGATGCAGAAGAGAGGACGGCAGCCATGTTTGAAGTTTATTTTCCTTCCACCAGTCACAAGTATCAGAAAAGATGGCAGGAGGGGCAGAATGCAGCACTGCTTGTGCCCTTCCAAGAATGGCATTTCATGGAAGGGGGTTGCCATTTTTCTTTAAACAAAATATCCCTAATGAACAAAATAAATATTTGGAGGAGAAATTGCTCCACATATACAGTTGTGTTTACAGCTTTTTATCTACTCTTTGCACACAACTAGGCTTTCAAGCATGCTCTTACCCTCTGGGTCTCCCAGGTCTGTCTCCTCAGTCCTTAACTGGTTTCAGGCCTAACCTCTTCAAAGATTTTGCTCTAGTGACTCATCTGGGCTCAAAGTAGGTGATCCAGGAAACAGCAATGTGAACGTTTCGTATGGGAACTTAGAGGATTCCGTTATGGTGCACACTGAGCTTTAAGTTCTGCAAGGCTGGAGAAATTTACAGCAATGTGAACGTTTTGTATAGGAACTTAGAGGATTCCGTTATGGTGCACACTGAGCTTTAAGTTCTGCAAGGCTGGAGAAATTTAGAATCTCCTGATATGGTTGAACTGTAGTTTCTGCCAGCCACAGTCAACTTGGCAAATGATGGTGGAATTGTTAATTTAGTAGTTCTTAAGTATATGGAAGGCCACAGGTTTGCCAGCCTTTCAGTATTAACCAGTCAAAGGCTTGATATTTACAGGAAGGAGGGGATATTTTGAGTGGACTGAACAAATAACATTGTCTTCAGTGTTGTTTTTTCAACAAGTTCTTTTAAAAAATTAGTAGCATCTTGTTAATATCATAAAGTATTAGAGAATGACATTTTAAAAGGATTGAGTCTTTTGAAAGGGTCTGCAGTGATTGGAGCAATTAATATTTGTATGTGTATTGTAAATAACTGTTCTGGACAAGCTAACACTCAGTATTGTGACTAAGACCCAAAGGAGGTTTAATTAAAGTGGAACCATCCTGAATCCTTCCCTCTCATCCTGTTAGGTTAGTTTCATATGACACAGCTCCACCTTTGCTTCCTGCACTATATTAGCAAGCTCCATTTTTGGTTTATTAGCTGCCGTATCATCAGGACTGATTGTATAGCCAGTTCTGACTTCAAGATGCAATCTCCTGTTGAATCTCATATCCTCTGGCACAAATACTGCATCCTTTTATGCTAGTATTGGAAAGCGATAAGCATTTATTAAAAGTCTTATCTAAGCCTTTAATAACAAAATAGGTGGTGTTCAGGTAACTTTGAATAAAAATCATGGTGTTTTGTTTCAAAAAACAGTGATAGTGAATTCCACATCAGTTTCCTGAATAAACATAGAGATGCCAGTCAAATTCATTCAACTTTTTAGCCAGTTTGTGTGCACACATATGCTTTGAAACTATTTCACAATGATTTAATTTTTGTAGTAGTTTTCTTCTCTTAAATGCAGTGGCTTTGTTGTTGGACTGCCCAAAGCTGAGTACCTAACTCTTAAAAGAAAATACAGGGAGAAAGTATGTTTTCTTCTTTTCCTCAGATCTCCCCAGGATAAAAGGATTCTTATGAACTGCCAGAGTGTTCCACAGTCCTTTGAAAATCTCCTTGATGAACCAGCATATGGTCTAATACAGGTCTGTGTGATTTAGTATTTGTTGTATTCCTTAAGTTTAAGATTCAAGATATTAATGCCTTTTTCTAGAAAGAAAGTCAAATTTCTCCCTGTTGGCAGATGTTCCTATTTTTCTGATTCTTGTATCTTATACATAAAATGAAACACTTGCAAGTTTACTATTAGTTGGTAGTAATTATATATTTGTTGAATAAGAGAGAATGATTTTTGTTGCTGTAATTGTTTTTAAGCGTACTTTATTTCATTTGTTTTATAAAACATGTCACTGCTCTCATGTATATTGTTACCAAGATCATATTAATAGGCTGTTACAGTACTGTATTTCATCATGTTCACATTCATCTGCCCTACATTCAGTGTGGAAGTGAGGGCAGTGTATGGAATGCTGCAAACATCTAGCATTATTTCTGTGTCCAGTTAGACCAAAATTTCCATGGCCTAAGTACAGTACTCACTGGGTCTGCTCAGTGAAAATGAATTCAGAAGAAGACAGGCAAACACCTCTGTCACTGAGGTTCATATAGCCTAGATATTGAAGTGCATAGACTTGGTAGTATTTCTCTTCTGTTTTTTTCCCATCCCCATTAGGTAATAAGAAGCTGCAATCCTTTCTGTTCGAGGTATATTTGTTAGCTTCCCTGTACCTAGACAGTATTTGTATCAGTTGCCACTCTTGAGATTTATGGTTCTAAGATCAAATGTTACACCATCGATACTATTCATACTTGCATGAGCCATTCTAAACATTTACTCCCATGCTGTTCTCAGAAACTGAAGAAGGATCCTTACACAGCAACAATGGGAGGATTCTCCAAAGTGACCCATTATATTTTTGATAGCTTACGGGGAAGTTACTCAACATCTCAGCAGAGGCCTCCATCAGAAATGGCAGACTTCATTAGTGATGCTATTCCAGGGCTAAAAATAAATCAACAGGAAGAACCAGGGTTTGAAGTAATTACACGAGTAAGTGCTGACTCTTCTATTTTTGAGATAAGAAGTAATTTATTTATTAACAGTTTTAAAATGAGTATCATGGTAATATTCTAACAGCTCTTTGGTACATATTTTAGATTGATTTAGGAAAACGACCTGAAATTCATAGAAGGCAGCCATTGTCAGTTGAAGAATGGACTAAGAATGTGGATTCTGAAGGAAGAATAGTAGATGTTGAAAACATGAAGCAAATGATATTCAGAGGGGTAATATCTTAAGAATTATCTTGAAAATCTTTATGGCCATCTGACACTTGGTTAGGTCTCTATAACTTTGAACGAAGTTAGCAGTCACACAAAAAGCAGTAACATTACTAGATATTTACAGCTGTCTTCTGAGTCCAGTAATCCTTTCCTTGATTTCGGGTATCCTGAGCTAGGTTAGGAGAATCTCACTGTTTGTAGTGACAGCTAGATTGACTGGTAATAGATCACTCCTTGAGTGGCTGGTGCTAAATCAGTTTTAGGAGAATAAGTGTAGAAATTGCCAAGTTAATTGTATGCAGAAATATGTCATGCAGTTAAAAAGTTAACTCTCCTGTTTAAGGAGAGGAAAGAGTAGAAAGGGTGGCCATAATACAAGATAAATGTAGTTATATAGCCTTAAACATATGCCTTCATAATCGTTCATAGAAAAGTTCAGGAAGATTGCTATAAATTGGGATAAAAGCTTACATAAGTAGAAGTCCACAAAATATTTAAGCAACAGTAACTAGCAGCACAATAGTACAGTATTTGATGTTTTCATAATCTTGTTTCTTTTAGATGGTTCCAGACAAATGCAAATGAGACTTCTATTGGAGAAGATTGCTTCTGATACATAAACATATTCTCCATAATAATTGTGACAATAGCATCTTCTAGCTTGTTTCTAAAGCTGCTGTTTAGAACAGGATCAGTGCCCTTAATTTTTAAATTAAGTGCTATAGGGATATTTAGAAAATTCATTCAGGAAGACTTATAGGAGAGTGGACAAGAAGTCTGAAAATGGAAACAATGTAGAAAATATGTATTTCTTGACATTCAGGACTTTCCATTTTTTATTTTCATGTTTTTGAAATCAAAAGTAAAAAAAAAATTAGCCCCAAAAGCAGCAGGTAATGAAAAAAAGGAAGCAAATGCTACCTACCATAGAATTGTTTCATTCCTTTGATCCTGAAGTGGTTGTTGTCACTTATAAAGTGTCTTATCTTGCTGTTCTTTTACGATGGTTTTCTTTAGGGACTTTGTCATGCTTTGAGAAAGGAAGCATGGAAATTTCTTCTGGGCTACTATCCCTGGCATAGTACTAGGGAGGAGAGAATGCTCATACAGAAACAGAAAATGTAAGTTCGAGTATTTTTGAGTAGTTAAAGCATGTATGAACAGCTTTAACATATGGATATTTGTCTTTATATGAAGTACTTTTTTCATATTTTCAAAATTGATGCTGATACAGTTGAATAGTAGTTTAGTAGCTAATAGCAAGCTATATTAAACTTCCTTACATTGAAAGATGTTCGTAACTAGATATTTTCACAGCTATGGCGGGGGGGGGCATCCTTACTACCTGTTTACAATGTCATAGAGCTCTGCTCACCATTGTTTCCAAGCATGTCATATAAAGTAGCATGTATTTGCTGATGCTTCTTTCAGATTTGTAGGTGTTACACTGTGCTTGTTTCTTTTTTCTTCAGAGATGAATATTTTAGGATGAAGCTTCAATGGAAATCTGTCAGTGAAGAACAGGAAAAAAGAAATTATAGACTGAGGGATTACAGAAGTCTTATAGGTAATTTAAAGATGCATATAATGCTAGAAATGTTTATTAAAAACTTCGGAATCTTCACAGTCAGGATTTATCAGTGCCTTAATAATAACAATAAAATATATTTTTACTTTTGACAAACATGTTAAATGTTCTTTCTATAAGCAAGCTGGAACTTATTTGTATCAGTAGTTAGCATTTTGATCACCATGCCAAGTCTGTTTCATTGTGAACAGAAGTCAACTACTATACTAAGAATGTTAATAAAGGGGCAAAATACTGTAATGGCCTATCTGCTCTATTTAGATACCGTCTAATGGCACATTTTCGGGTGGTTTTGTTTGTTTGTTTTGTTTTGTTTTCCCTATGCTTAGGTTAAAGTGCTTTTTGTTAGGGAATATTAAAAAAACCACTTCTGTTTGTAGTTCTGAGCAAACATTCATGAGTGAAATCCTGTTGTATAAGTCATGCCTGTGGAAGGGTGATGATGGCATCAATAGAGGCAATTTGCAGTAATTAAAAACTGTCCCATCTCATGTTTCATGTTGTAGAAGCTGTGGTGACTGTGGAATAGAAAGAGAAAGTCTTTAATTACTGAAAATCTCCCCATGCCAGTAATGTAATTCAGCAGTAGCGATCTTTGGTAATTAAAGATGTTCCGCAGTGGTTTTTGTACAATGAAACAGATTATACAGGAGTCCAATGAGCCATGGGGCAGAAATGGTAATTTTTCCTTGCTGAAAATTGCCCTCTGCTGGTGATATTTTCACCTCTTCCTCAGGCATAGCTTATACAACAGGATTTCAACACATGTAAAGTTTGAGAACCTGAGGTCCCACCAGGCAATATTATTTGGATTTCATTCACATCAATTAGGTGTCTCCAAAGTTTTTCTTGCAACATATGGATGTTGTGCAGCAGCTTGTGTTGTAGCCCTTATACCTTTTCTGATTTTGGCTTCCTGCTTTCGAAAATGAAGTTGAGAGTACATTTGCACAGATTTCATATTAACTAAGAAATACATAAATTGCTGACAATATGTTTAAATACTGTTCTAATCAAAAAGGTTATGACGAGTTGCATTGTTACCTGCTCTGATTAGCTACTTAAAATATTTTATGAGCTTGAAAGTATTTGGAGTAACTCAGTTGTAAGAGATAAGTATTTGAGACTAAAATGCTGAAACTGAAATGTGAATATAGACAACCACATGCATATACTTGTAAGTAAAGTACAAAATAACTTACACAATGGGATTTTTTACTTTCCTTATAAGCATCAGGCATTCAACCTTTTCTTTTCTTCAGTCCTATTTTGGTGAAGAGACCACATTCATAATCAAGAGAATAGTGTAATTGTTTAATTTTGGAGCTTAGAAATAGCAAATATGCCTGCTTTGGGGATTTAAATTACCCTAACACTGAATTGTTCTTACCAATCCATTTAGACTCCAGTAAATTGATTTTTTCCAGCCTTTTAATAGCATTTGAAACATAATAGGTAGTGTCGAAGTTGAGTCTCTCTGGAACAATAAAATCTATTTTCTGTCACAACTTATTTTTAAAAATTAAAATAATCTGTTTTAATCAAATGCTGGTAATGTGAACTGCTGGCAGGTTGAAGTTACATAAAACTGCTGTGAATGTTAGAGACTAAACAGAAGACTAAGCTTGGCATTGATTAAAGAAACACTAAAAGTTGGGACTTTGTAATAATGCCATCTCATACTAAACCTAGCAATTAGAAATTCAACCATATCCCTTTGATTTAGGCTTGATTGCATATCAGCGTTTTCACCATTAATTTTAAAGTAACAGCATATATCTGTGTATTTGAGTGACATTTTATATTTAACATGTCTGAAATAGACTCTAGTGAATTTTAATTCAATGGAAATGTTTTACATTTTAATCATAATGAGTTCTGTAAAAAGTCTGTAACATAGAAAGTGTTTGAAAATCTGCTTATAAGAAATCATCTTAGTTGAGACAGGATTTTTTTTCCTTTTAAATACTTTTAAAAGCTGCTTTAATGCATTTTAAATGACATCATAGGAATTCAGTTGTCTTACTAGACACATCAAAGCTCAGTGTTTGAGAAACTAGAAACTTAGAGAGCATCCTGCATTTTTTAGATATAGGCTTAGCAGAAGCTGTTTTGAAAATTCATTAAATGTGTGTGCTGTTTTTCAGAAAAAGATGTAAACAGAACAGACAGAACAAATAAGTTTTATGAAGGTCAGGATAATCCTGGGTTGATTCTGCTTCATGACATTTTGATGACTTATTGTATGTATGACTTTGACTTGGGTAAGTAGAGTTCTCCATGTGTATATGTATTATTGATCCTGTCTAGATTTGTGTCTTGAAATAATCCTTTAGAGAAGGCGAGATGCAGTCTTAAAAGTTTGATTTTTATATCAATACTTGATGAATTGGTTATGACAAGTGAAGCCAGCAACAAAACACTGTAGTTGATCCCTACCCCAAATACTTGTGTTTCATCTTACGATGTATTGTAATTTTGTTTAGACCTCTTGGTACAAGGACATTCAAAAGGTGATGGGGAGAGGTAAGGCACCCCATCACCGCCCCCACGCACCTTGACTCCTGGTCTTCCCCTGTTTTGTTTCAAAGTACTAGAGGTCTTTGTTGTGCTGTCTGAAAGTCACAAACCCGTGTCTGTGGGATTTATCCTTTTCTCCATGGTTCTTCCGAAACACGGCTGCATAGTAAAAGGATAGGAGCTGTTCTTGCCATGGAACTCATTTTCTGCCATGGCCAGGGTAGACGTGCTCTGTGAGGAAGATAGCCACATTGCCAGCCTTCAGCAGCACAAGGCACCATGGTAAGGGGTGGAGCAAGGCTGGAACCTGAGGAGGCCATAGCGAAAACTTCTCCCCATCCCAACCACACACTGAGTCTTCTCACTGCTTATACAGTGGTGCCTTGCAAGCCGAACGCCTCACGGGACAAAAAAAAGGGCAATATGAACGGGTCTTGTGAGTTTTTTGGTGCCTTGCAATATTTGTCATTTTTTGAACAATTTTTCCCATAGGAATGCATTGAAATTTAATTAATGCATTCCTATGGGGGGGGAAAAGTCACAAAAGTCACTTACCTGGTAGTAAGACCGAATAGACCGAGCCTCGCTCCTCCTTGGTAGCCCAGGAACAGCTGGATTCTATCGCCAAACAGCTGACCATCGGGAGGCAGCAGAGAGGTGGCAGCCATTTTGAGATGTGACCACATGGCTGCTGCCTTTCAAAATGGCTGCCACCTCTCCAAAAAGCCTGCCACCTCTCTGCTTGTTCCCAATGGTCAGCTGTTCGGCACTAGAGTCCAGCTGTTCCCGGGCTACCAAGAAGGAGCGGGGCTCAGTCTACTCGGTCTTACTACCAGGCAAGTGACTTTTTTCTGACTTTTTCCCCCATCGTCGTTTAGTCATTTAGTCGTGTCCGACTCTTCATGACTCCATGGACCAGAGCACGCCAGGCCCTCCTATCTTCCACCGCCTCCCGGAGTTGTGTCAATTTCATGTTGGTTGCTTCACAGACATTGTCCAGCCATCTCATCTTCTGTCGTCCCCTTCTCCTCTTGCTGTCACACTTTCCTAACATCAAGGTCTTTTCCAAGGAGTCTTCTCTTCTCATGAGATGGCCAAAGTATTGAAGCCTCAGCTTCAGGATCTGTCCTTCCAGTGAGCACTCAAGGTTGATTTCCTTTAGAATTGATAGGTTTGTTCTCCTTGCAGTCCAGGGGACTCTCAAGAGCCTCCTCCAGCACCACAATTCAAAGGCATCAATTCTTCGGTGGTCTGCTTTCTTTATGGTCCAGCTCT